CTAGGGGGAACTCTGGCACGATTGGCGTTGGGTAGTGCTGGTTCACCTCCTTGAGGACGGAGACTGGAATTTTTGTGGGGGCAAGGAATTCAGGGTGATGATGGTGCTTGGGGCCTGCTGAGATGAGGTCCTCTGGAGTTCTCTACAAGGACAAAGTTTGAGAGGACGGATGAGATTTGGATGGAGGAAGTTGGTGGTGGATGCGATTGGCGCTGAGCATCTCGGCGGGTACCGGCCACTGGCCACCAAATCCACCTCGATCAGCTTGAGGTTCTTCCTTTCGATGATGGAGGCAAGATTGTTCTACTTGTCTGTTTCAGGGGTTACATGTTTTTCTAAATTTGACCTATCCTGGTTAGCCCAGAATTTTCTGATCTCTTTTGATGTTAATGCCCTAATCCCTTCTTGGGGAATATTGCTGAAGTAATTTTTCAATGATATTCTCAAATTATTCTCGAGTTATCTTGGTTTTAGTCGTAGTTTGGATTCTGATGGTGATTGTGTTTTGATTGTGGGCTCCATGGGATAGCCAAATGGTGCATCTTGTGGAGTTTTTAGGGACTTGTTTTGAAGTTAGGGGCAAGGGGCATGAAATGATTCTTTGCAAGGACGGAGAGGGGGATGGAATAGGGTTGCTCGACGGGTACCGACTAGGGGGAGTTCTTATCAGATGCGATTGGCATTGGGTAGTTTAGGCTGTCTGATGGGTACCGGCTGATGAGGGCGAACTCTGGTGCGATTGGCGCTGGGTAGTGCTGGTTCACCTCCTTGAGGACGAAGACTGGAATTCTTGTGGGGGCAAGGAATTTTAGGGTGATGATGGTGCTCGGCCCCTGCTGAGATGAGGTCCTCTGGAGTTCTCTACAAGGACGGCGTTTGGGAAGACAGATGAGATTTGGATGGAGGAAGTTGGTGGTGGATGCGATTGGCGCCGAGCATCTCGGCAGGTACCGGCTACTGGCCACTAACTCCACCTGGATCAGCTTGAGGTTCTTCCTTTCGATGATGGAGGCATGATTGTTCTGCTTGTCTGTTTCAGGGGTTACATGTTCTTCTAAATTTGACCTATCCTGGTTATCTCGGAGTGTGCATCTTCCAGAGATTGGAGCTATGCTGGTTGGGCAAGAACACATTCGGAGCCCACCTTACCCTGTTGTGCAGGGGCCGCACAGACGGTGTGACGGACCCGCCGGGATGGCGGTCCGTCAGGATCAAGACGAAGGGATGAGGATGGGGGAGATGGAGATGGAGCTGGAAGGGACAGCGCAGCTCCAACGCAGACTCAACACGCACGTACTCCAATCTGTGCAAAATGAAGAATGCCACAAAACAGACTGCAGCTGGGGTATACCCCCAGCGGACTGACTGGACTGGACTGGACTGGCCTGGTACTGACAGTGGTACCGGGCAGGACTGGACTGGACTGAATAACCGCACGGCCTGTAGGGTCAGGCCACGGCCTGGTCCCACAGGCCGGACTGGCAAATAGCCAAATAGGCCCTGGCTGTGGGCCAGGGCAGATGAAGGCCCGCTGCAGACGGGGGTGAGCGCCAAGTCAGCAGGATACAAAGATGGTGGATTATCATGCGTTCTGCTGATGAAGGGGCTAGTCAGCAGGATTGAGCTAGGGCATAGCCGCGGTAGAGATGGTGGCTCTACTGTAATAAGTCTTACCGGAGTAAGGTAAGGGGGTTGAAGGGGGGTCAAGTGTGGTGAGTTGAGTTAGCATAGGTAAGCAAGGAGATCTGCTGACATAGCATAGTCCTTTTCATTTAAAAGGAGCTTCTGCCAGCATTGTTATAGCCAGAGATCGCCATGGGTGCCCTGAGTTCTCAATTAAAACCTTGATAGGCCAACGGGCCAGCAGAGCATTAGTCTGCCTCTCCAGATCCAACACCCTTAGGCCCCCATCCTCTTGAGCTTCAGTGATCTTACTCCAAGCTACTTTGGTAAGTAGCCTGCGTCCTCGCTGCGAGTTCCTTTCCAAATGTACCGGGTGGCTGCACTCCTCACTCGAGAGTAAGACACCCCCCTCGGAGGCCTGAGAGAGACCGCAAACCAGAGACATGAGAAGACTGCCGTGTTCAAAAAAAGCGCTCTACCTTGTAGAGAGACACCAGTGACCCTCGCCGACTTGTTTAATTTAGCCATATTAACTTTCCCTTCTAAGATTTCACTGGCCTGATTTTTTGCACCATCCATCCCCACCTGCACTCCCAAGAACTTTCACAAGCGTTTGCAGGAAAACATTTCAAGCTCCAATTTACACTCAGACTTTCCCGGGCCCGTGTTTCAGCACAACCATAGTTTTAGACCAATTAATTAGTGCTTCAGAAAACTAAGAATACAAGTCGAGACATTTCCTGAGAGCACCCAAGGATTGCTCAGAGTTAGTGGAGAGTGAGAAGAGGTCATCAGCCATAGCCGAGGCGACGCAGGTTCTTCCCTCCCCTAGTGGGAGACCCTGTATTAAGGGGTTTTTCCTGATTGCTGAGAGTACCACGTCCATTTGGATTACAAAAAACATTGGGGCTAGCAGACAACCCTGCCGAAGCGAACGAGACAAATTAAACAGATCTGAGATTACCCCATGGACCATGACTTTTCCTATTTCCTTGGTATAAAATACCGTAAACCAGCGACGAAAGTTCACGCCGAAACCTGCCCTTGACAGGGTATCTATGACAAAATTTCAATTGACACAGTCATAAGCCTTTCCAAGTCCACAACGTGGAAGCGACCAGACCAAGGGTCGGGCTACTACAGGCTTAACACATCCCCTATACCCGACAGACACTTCCAATCCCTTATCAAGGACACATGGCAATTCTGGCAGCTGCAAAAGTCGTGATTCGACTCATAACTAGCATGGTTCATTAATGGGTTGTACTACCTCGCAAGGAAATGCAAGGAATATCCGAAGGAACGAGCAGCACAAAGGAACAGACAAGAGATAGAGATCTACAGAGAGGTCCATGACCTGGAGCAACAGGCAAATTCACAAGCTCAAGAAGGGAACATTCAACGGTTGAAACAACAATTGTTGCAATTTGTGCAACAAAGATGACAAGGACTAAGAATACGCAGCACAGTAGCTAATCTTAACTACCAAGCTAATATGGACACAATATTTTTTAGCATGGCCTCGGCCAGAATGGGACGAACAGTTCTTGAAGCCCTCTTTGATTTAGATAAGGGGGATGACAACCTGACCACATCCACGACACACTGTACCCAGGTCACCAGGACATTCTTTTATAAACTATAGACGTCGCAGGTACCTAACCCACAAAGCGAGGTAAGGAAAAAGGATCTGAACGATTCCTCAAACCTTCAGAGAGAGCGTTATAGCCGCATCAAAAAGAAATATTGGATGACCCCTCTGATGAAGCAAGATATATGGACAACGCTACTCCAAATGGACGAAGGAAAGACCTCAGACACCGATGGGTTCCCCAAGGAGTTTTGGGAGTCCATGTGGCCGGTCCTGAGCTCCAATTTGTGGGCCTACTACCGAAAGGTATGGGAGGAGGGATGTATGGGGAAAGTGGTTGGACAACACGTTCTAGTGGGCCTTTGTAAAAAAGGGACAAGATGAACCTTAGGAACTACAAACCCATCACCTTTCTGACAGTAGTCTATAAAATGCTCGCAAAGACCCCGTCCAATCGTATGGCTGGGGTCCGGGAAGATATTATTCACCCAGCTCAGACTGGTTTCATAACCGAAACATCCAAGAAAACATCCTTCTTGTTAATGCGATGGTTAACCTGCCTTGAGGTTACAGTCAGAATGCGGCTATTATCTTCATAGACTTTGAAAAGGCTTATGACCATGTCAACTGGCAATTTCTGGATAAGTGTACGGAAAAGATGAACTTTGGTCAGACCCTTCGACAATGGGTGAGTATTCTCCATAAGAACGCGACCACAAGTGTCCATGTCAACGACAATGTGGGCCCCCAGTTCCCGCTCCAAAGGTCGGTTAGACAAGGGGAACCAATTGCTCGGTACCTTTTCCTAATCATAATGGAAGCCTTATCAGCTAACCTACGAAGCCACAAGGACATTAGGAGAATTGGGATAGCAGGGATCCCCGATGAGGCGATTCCAGTATGCTCCCTCTTCGCAGACGACCTAACAATTATGATAGAGGCATGCGCACAAAACCTGGAGGCAGTGCAAGCCCTGATGGAACGGTTCTGCCAGCTATCGGATATGGTCGTTTATTGGGACAGAAAACGGTGGGCTGGTGGTTGCACCACCAGGGTGGGAGACCTCCGGAGAGACCACACATCACATGGCTACCCCCGGAGGCGCCATCGAGAGTCCTTGGAGCATCTCTATCAGCCAAAGGGAGACTAGCAACCAATGACGAATGGGTGGCAAACCCGGCTAGAGCCAAGCTGGTTGCTTGGAGTGGGAGACACACCTTGATCTTTGGAAGGGCCCTGGTCATTAATAATTTGGTGTTAGCGTCCTTATGGTATAAGGCAGTACTGTGGCCATTAAGCGAGACGGGACTTAAGGCCTTGAAGAGGTGAATAGCTATCTTTCTATGGAGAGGGGATAGTGAATCCCCCCATGCAATCAGTCGGGTGGCATGAGAATCGATAATTCAACCCAAGGCTAAGGGAGGGCTGGGTATTATAGACCTGGCCACACAGGTTCAGGCTCTGAGTCTGCGGTGGATACTGCTAATAATTTTTAACAGAAACTCCCCCTGGCGCCCATTAGCATTGACACAGATCTTACAGAGCTGAAGAGGCAATCATGTGGTCCTATCAACAATTGTGATCATTTTAGTAGTTGTTTAAGTGACGCTGGACCCGATTTCCAGCAGGTGCAGCTCCCCACCAATAGATGGAGCGGTATATCATTCTGCTTTCTGGACAGCGTTGGACTTTCTGGCTTTCAATGTGATTTTGCATTCTGGATTTCTGTCATTTCACTATCGCTCATTTTCCTTGCAACCGGTTGAAATGAAATGAAAATTGCCAGGAGGCCCAATTTATAAACAAGAGCTTGAGTGCGCTGGGAAAAGTGGTGCTCGCCTTAGCACAAGGTCAGGTCGGGGCACACGTGCCCTACAGGGAGACCAAGCTCACACGTGTCCTCAAGGACGGCCTTGGTAAGTTCTTCGTCGTTACTTATCTTTCATTGCTTATATATATATCATATATTTATATACAAAACTACAAATATAAATATATCGTCAAACAGAGCTGACAGGTAAACCGTAGGCAGATAGGCAGAAGAGGACAACAAACGAGGGGCTGTGACAAACTGTTTTGTCGGAGTTTATATGCTGCCCGAGCAGTGCCCGGTAAACTGTTGGCAGAGGGGGACAAGAGGATAACAAACGAGGAGCTGTGAAAGACTGTTTCACCGGAGTTTCACCGGCTCATCAGGAGACTGAACCCTATATAAATGTATCTATGTATATATGTATATATCAGCGTGCTGATGAGTCAGTGAAACTCTGACAAAACAGTCTGTGACAGCCCCTCGCCAGTTGTTCCCCCTCTCTGCCTACAGTTTATGGGGCAGCTCTGTTTGATGATATATATATAGACACACACACACACACACACACACACACACACACACACACACACACACACACACACACACACAC